CTCACGCTAAGCTGCTGAAAGCAAAATAGGTTGTCATTAGCTACACAAAAAAATGATGGATATAACTTTGCCGTAATGACACTCCAGGGCTGTTGTGGTTGTGCAATCAGTTCTAGTGTGCATATAGCAAAGAACGAGAAACACACCAGAAGCGAGGGGGTGGGGGTGAAGGATTTACTTGTGTGTGAATTCAGTCACCTGCATTGACCCATTTGTTTTATGGTCACAAAAGTAATTATTACTTTTATAATAATTACACACACACACCTGCCTCCATTCGAACTAAATGAGCAAACATTCCTAGGCAGCCATATGGAGCAAGTTCATAACAGCACATGGTGAAGTTCGAATTGGTCTTTCTAGAAGGGTGTTCCCACATTATACCACGGAGCCCCAAAAAGAACAGCCCAGAAGTCGTGTGCCCTGGTTTTTGGCCTGGACATGTTGGAGGGTATGTTATAATCTCCCCAGGTAGCAGTCATTTCTACCTGGGTTCAGCTGCTTATGAGAAAGAGTCTACCCATGGAGAATACAAAATTTACCACATGGAGGTATCTCCTGAAAAAATAGGTATTTTGCTCACTAGTTAACTGCCCTTGCATGTTCTCCCCATTGTGAGCTGTTTCCCTCCCCTCTTTGGGGACAGCTTGAGTCTTTGTTCTAATCCTGTGCAGTCCTTACCATACATATGTAAACCCCACTGCGTTCAATGGGACTAACTCTCAGGTAGCTGGGCATATGATTGCAGCCTAATAGAAATGAGAATCCTATCACTTGAAGGGCAGACTTGAGCAAGAGCCAAGGGTTGGCAGGCAACTAGACAGAGACTCTCTTGTATGAAATGACCTGGACCCTACAATCATAATCTGAGGCCCTTTTTCACGTGCCTCATCCATGAGAGGTCCAGAGGGTAGCAACATGAGAAAGGGCCTTTTCTGTAGTGGCTCCCCACTTGCGGAATGGTCTTCCTAGGGAGGCTATCCTGGTGCCTTCATTATATATCTTTAGGCACCAGGTGAAAATGTTCCTTTTCAACCAGGCCTTGGGCTGATTAACATTCAATGGCCTTTTAAATGTGTTTGTGTTTAGGGGTAATGGTTATAGGTTTGCTTTGTTTTTATTCTGTATTTTGTGTTTTTATTCTGTATTTTTATGCTGTGAACTGCCCTAAGATTTTTAGTTGAAGGACATTAATACCAAATGAATAGATAGATAGATAGATAGATAGATAGACAGACAGACAGACAGACAGATGGACTGGAGGGCTGTGTGGCTTGTTAATGTAAACAATGTAAATATGTCTACTTAGAATTAAGTTCCACTGAGTCTAATGGGGCTTACACCTGACTAAGTGAGTACAGACCTGCAGCCTTAAACATCTAAATTCATTTTTTTCCTGTAAAGGCTAGATGCTGATGTATTAATAAATATTACAGCATTTATAATAAGTCTGTTGAATCTTCAGTGTGTCATCTTGGGATTCTTCTGCTACCCTTCAATATTGTGTCATGAATAAATGCCAGAAAAACCTGCTTAAAACTTGCTCCAAAGCCAAGTGACATGTAATGAATAATAGCTGCAGTTACAACTGCAATAAAAAAGTAACTTAACACAGCATTCAGAAACAATAGTCATCAAAAAAATAGTGGAAACTTTAGGTAATACAGGCGGCAACCATTTTGCATGTATTCAATTGATGTGCAGCAGCCAGCGTGCAGAACAGAATTGTGTCCTTATTTTATATTTGTATCATTTCCTTTAAATCACGCCTTTCCTAAAAAGAGCTCAAGGTGCCATACATGGTCCTTAATATCAGAACAATCCAGTGAGGTGGTTTAGGCAGAGAGTGCCCAAAGTGAGCTTCATGGCCAAGTTCACCCAAGTGGTGCCTTCCAGATGTGGTTGAACTACAACTTTCATCGTCCCTGACCATTGACAATGCTGGCTGAGGGTGATGGGAGTTGTAGTCCAACAACATCTGGAGGGTACCACATTGGCTTCTCCTGAAATATACAATGATCACTCCCCCCCATTTTTGCCTCGCATGTTATTTATGACAGCCTTGGAAGTCCTCATCACAATTAAATATAATGACACAATTAAGGGTGTTCAAATGAGAGAAAACCAATTTGAACTATCATTATGTGTGGATGACACAGGGGAGCTTGACCCCAGCTCGTCCTTGGGATGACTTAATTCTGAGTCTTTCTAATTTGTTAGTAATAAAGCAGATTAGCCAAATTAATGCTCTTGCCTTTCAGTGCAATTTGGTGCTAGGCTCATTTTCTTAGCAGTTGGACACCTGGAGTGTCAAATGCTTGTGCATTGAGGATTGTGACGAAGACATTCCCCATTCCCCCACTCCGCAGCCAACATGTCTAGAAAGTTTCTGAGGCTCTTCTCTCCCAACATTTCATTTAGACAGGGTTAATGTCCAAGCCAGTGTGCTTTGATACTGCAGACTCAAAACAGTTGAACAGTAATCTCTAGGGAGCCAGAACACCTGTAGTTCCGTGAAGAAGTCCTGGGCCACATCCACACCATACATTTCAAAGACTACACTACCAATTTAAACAGTTGTGGCTTAACAGACAGAATTCTGGGAGCTGTAGTTTGTTAAGGGTGCTGACTGTTGTTGGTAGGAAGCCCCTAATCCCCTGACAGAACTACAAGGCCCACTTATCCAAACTCCAGGGAAATGGCATTTGTGGCTCAGTGTGGCCATGGTGGATGGGGCTCCCTTCTGCAGCATGGGTCAACGGTGGAGGGAGCTCCTTTCTCCTTCACCAGTTGTACTGGCTGCTGGGGACTCTCTTGCAGGCTGTGCAGCCCACCAGGGCATGACTTTATTGTACTATTGCACTACCAACCTTACTGTATGCTTGTGAAACAAGGACCACTTATAAATGCCACCTCCAACTCCTTGAAAGATTCCATCAACGGTGTCGCCAAAATTTTTTACACATCACTTGGGAAGACAGGTGAGCAAATACCAGTGTACTGGAAGAAGCAAAGATCACCAGTGTTGAAGCAATGATTCTTCAACATCAACTTCGTTGGACTGGACATGTTGTGCAGATGCCTGATGATCGTCTTCCAAAGCAACTACTCTATTCCAAACTTAAAAAAGGAAAGCATAATGCCTGTGGTCAACAAAAGAGGTTTAAAGACTGTCTCAAGGCAAATCTAAAAAAAATGCAGTATAAACACCAACAATTGGGAAACATTTGCCTGCGAGTGCTCCAATTGGAGAGCAGCCTTTACCAAAGGTTTCCATGGGCTTTGAAGACACTCGAACTCAGGACGCAAGGGAGAAATGTGCTAAGAGGAAGGCACGTTTGGCAAACCCTCACTGTGATCAACTCCTGCTTGGAAACCAATGTCCCTACTGTGGAAGGATGTGTGGATCCAGAGTTGGCCTCCACAGTCACTTACGGACTCATTGTTAAAACCATGTTTATGGAAGACAATCATCAAAGAAGAAGGTTTGGGGAGAGGATCAGAGGGGAGACTTTTTCTAATGGTCTTTCCTCTGTTCCACTCCCTGGAAATATAAACCAGCTGCACCTGTGCCTTGGCCTCAGTTCTCTTCCAGATTCTGGAGGGGGAGTGGGAGGACCCTGAGTGCTATGAGGATGATGCGGAGGAGATGGCATCTTCAAGATGGCAGTAGGGTGGGGGAAGAGGCTTCCTTTTGGGGGATGATGGTGGTGGGCGGCAGAGCATGGAAGAGAGCTGAAGAGATAGGAAAAAAGCACTTTAAAGCACCAACAAGCTGAAAGAAGGGATGAGCAGCGTGGGCTGTGGGTTCTATCCCTGCCTTCTCCCTCTTTGTCTCTGAAAATGTTCAGCACCACAGAATTATGTAAAGAGAAACTGGGGAAAGAAAGGCCTTCCTTCTTTTGACCTTGTTAGTCTCTCTTTCGACTGCAGGAGGGCCTTCTGGAGTGGCAAAACAATTAGTGACATAGGAAGTCAGATGCATTTTGAGAGACTGGAGGGAAATTAAGTTTAAACTGTCAGGTTTCCTCGTTTACCCACAGGAACAACAAAGAAATAACTCATGCACAAGGTATGCAAAGCCTTCCTCATAATCTCCCACCCCGCTCCCCCCTTCAAATCCTTCTAGTTCAAATGACTCTTTTTAGACAATCATGCAATGATCTTTTTTTCCATTCAGCTAACTTTGGTGGGTCTGCACACTTCAGGGAGATAAATGTTGCACTGATTGTTTGGGGAAGCTTTTCAGAACAAGAACAGGTTGATTTACAGGCCAGGAATATCAGACTTAGGGCTGCTGACTGGTTGTTTGAAACCACTTCAGGATTTCCAATGGTAAACAGGACTGCAGGGGTAGGGAATCCTTTACAGCCTGAGCGTTGTATTTGCTTCAGTGCAATCTTCCAAGGGCCACATGCCAGAAGAGTTGGGAGAACTCCACAAGAAGGATGGGAAGTAGGAGAGGGGAGAACATTCCACCTGGCAAGCAGAAATGGTTGTGCTGATGGAATTATTTTCTTAGCATTGCCCTGAATTCCACCCACTGTCTGCAACCTTGGACAGCTGCTGCCAGTCAGGGTAAAATATACTGAGCTGGATGGACCAATTGTCATATTCGGTGCAAGTCAATTTATTTTCACGGCAGGCTTAAAAAGATGTTGAGGGCGTGTTAGTTAAGGTGCAAAGACGGGAAGCTGCAGGTAGTCTTCCACCTGTCTTCTATGCCATACAAGGTTTCTGAAGGAAGAAAACAGTACAGGATAATCCTTCCAAGAGAAAATTTATTAGAGGGCTATTAAAAGCGAAATGGAATACGAGCACAAATATACCTCAGAGGCCCAGGAATAAGAAAGCAGTGAAGCCCTTTGAAAATGAGAGTTCTGATGGAGCAATCAAGCCCCTTATCATTTTCTGCATTGGCAGGAACAACAACCCAGGGCTATGTGACCTTAACCCCTCCATACTCAAGAAGCAAAGGAGTGGGGATATTTGCTGGAGGAAAGAGGCAATGAAATTGGAAGAGTTCATTGACTGCTCTGGAAGAGGAAGTTCAAAACCTGATCAGTGCAACGGAACACTTCTGATGGGCATCTGGTGAGGTGTGTATGTGTGTGTGTGTGTCTGTGTGTGTGTGTGTATGCTATGCGTGTGGGCTGAATAATGAGGCAAATAATGGTTTCTTCCACCCAAGTCCAAGTGCAATGTCAATACCCCTCAAGTCAGATCAGGGCCCCCACAAAGCCTTGGGTTGCTCTGTTTCTCCACCCTTCTTTGTGCTATACTGTTCTTTGCTTTCCTATATTATATCTCTATGTTTTTCTAGGTCCATGAACTTTGCAAAAAGTGAGCTGTCCAAAATGTTTTCTGCAGTGAACTGAAGGGACGTGGATGGTATTTTTGTTAAAGTTAAAATCTTCATAAAATCATAGAATTGCAGAGTTGCAAGGGACCCCAAGGGCCATCTACTACTACCCCCTGCACTGCAGGAATCAATGTAAGTTCTTAAAATAATAATAATCCTAGATTGTTCTACTTTAACAACAACATCTTCCCCCACAAATGCAGGGATCTTCTGAACTTCGCAGGCAGCCTCATGTTGCAAGACCTGGGAAAGGCCTATTGTCAGGGAACTGACATCGGAGCTAGAGGCAGAGGGAAGGCTCTCAAATGATGCTGGAGAAGGGCCCAGCAGGGAGAGAGGCAGCTCAGCAGATGGGGAAGCAATTCAGCACGACACCAGGAATAAAGAGGGGCAGATGGGGGAATCGGCGAGAGGGCTCCCAGACTCTTTACCGGACACCAGCGGGGAGAGCACGGGTCCTCCGCTACCCACACCCTCCCTGCGCAGAAGACTTCCGCGCAGAGAGAGTAGGAGGAGACTGGGTGTCAAACAACTTTTATGTTGGAAAAGGTTTAAGAAATGCCCACTGACGGATACTGCTAGCGACTGAGGCAGCCACGGAGTGAAGGGCTGTCCAGACTGAAAGGTTTAACAAGGCAACAAAGCCAGGAGAGGCGGCGACTTACGCACGAGCAACCCATACTCTTTACACCTATGTTGAGATCTGTAAAGTCCAATGGAAGACACAACCACCAGAAAGGAAGGCCAGTGTGAAAATAAAAATGTACAAGCAAAATTACATGCTACTCAACTATCTCTTAATTATTTCATGGTAAGTAGAAGGAAAATCCACTCTGCCTCCCTAAGGGATGATGGAGGAAAGTAAATACCTTTTTCTTCCCCTATGAAAATCCTTCAGACATATTTGTCTGCAAGTTGTCAGGCTTAGTTCATTCTGGAGGGGCTCTTGTGTTTGCAAATTTCATTCACTTTGGTCAAAAGGAAGAAAAAGTATAGCTGTTTTTAGAATCCCCATTATACTGAATGAGCAAAGATAGCGGTTGTTTTTAATACAGGGTGACTCAGCAGCCAAATGACAGATCAAAGCAGAAAGCAACCCAGGAAAAAAAAAATTTTTTTTAAAAACTGCACAGATACAGATGCAAGTTGAATCTTTCAACCTGTGCACACGCCAAATATGACTTTTAAAGTGATTATATTGGAGCTGGGCTATAGGAGACTGAACACTGTTCCCACATGATTCACCTATTAAAAGTATGGGAAGAATTGCATGTCAGGATACTGCCCCCAAATTTCTACCCTGGATTTTCCAGGTTAACAGGGTTGCAAACAGATTTCAACCCCCCCACAAGCAATAAACATGACAATGAGCACTAAACTCTCACTAGATTTCCAGATGTGGCTTTTACGTCATGAGCAAGATCACACAAAATGCAACAATTACCGCATATGGAAAGGTTGGAAATGGAATTAAGGCACTGTCTGAATGCAACCAATATGCTTTACTTTTTGCTTTGCAAGGTTTCTTGACATGTTGTTTCATATTATACGAAGCTTTGGGAAATCACATTTCCTGGTGCTAGGGATTTTTATTTTTAGGGTGTGTGGGGAGGAGGATATAATTTAGCAATTAAACTGGAGGCAGGAAGGTGCAAGCCCCACAATGCATTAGCCCATTGATTTTGTCCTTGAGGGGTGGAGGTGAATGACAAGACAGAAGCAGCTACCTCTTACGGTGGTCTGATAAAAATGAAAGAACACACTGATTATGTCTGCGGCTGCTCTTCTTGACCCAGCCAACAGTGACAGTCATCAAACTGTGCTACATACACTGAGCGGCTCAATGTGCAAGCTAACCAAAGGATATCATTAAGTCTAAACATTGGAGCTTCTCAACCAGATACAGTGCTTCAGAACAGCTCGGGGGAGAAGAGCAAGGGAAAAACCCAAACAAATCCCTTCTGTGGGCTGAAATGTCACACATGATTCATGTTTGACTTTATAGCACCTGTTTGCTTCTTACTTAAGAATGTAAGAATTAGCTTTGCAGGATGGATGCAACTCAGGGTCCATTTAGGCCAGGCTTCCTCAAACTCGGCCCTTCAGATGTTTTGAGACTACAATACCCATCATCCCCGACCACTGGTCCTGCTAGCTAGGGATCATGGGAGTTGTAGGCCAAAAACATCTGGAGGGGCAAGGTTGAGGAAGCCTGATTTAGGCCACCATCCTATTCTGAACTGTGGTTTGCCAGAGGTCTCCAGGAAACTCACAAGCAGGGCAGAACTGTGATGACCATCTCTAGTGGTTTGTTTCCAAGATCAGGTAGAGTGGCTACAGATCTGGAGGCTCCATATAGTTATAATGTCTAAACAGGTCTAAGAGTTTGCTCATAAGAAAGGTGGTCTGCTCCTCTGAGATACCATGGGATCTAGTAAAGGTTTGCTGCATCCTGTGGGAAGTGGCATGATTAAAACTGATCAGAGTTTTCTAAACTTGGTTACAACATAGGTATACTTGATCATCTGATCACATGGTCATCTTCAGAAAATGCATTATTCCATAAGGCAGGGAAAGACAAAATAATAATAATAATAATTATGTCAAGAGCTACATTCTTTTGGGAGTTGTCTGCCAGGGACAATGTACCAGCAACAAGTGGGGTCTTTCTGCCACCCCTTCTTTCTTTCTCTTTATGACACCCCCTTTTTCTCTGTTTGCCACCCCTTTTCTATCTCTTTCAACCAGCCCCACTCACCTTCTGAATCCCATTTTTCTCTCTTTCTGCCACCCCTCTCTCCCCCCCGCCCGCTACCCTCTTTCCTCCACCCACCCATTTCTTAGCAACCATATGAAATCAAGCCAAGAGCTGCCTGAAATTAGACCAAAAGCTACAAGTTGTCCCACTGTACTCTAGGACTGGTAACCCTAGCCTCTGCATTCACAAGATGCAAAACGAGTCCCTCTCCCTCCCACACCAGTCATTTCCACTTGTGGATGAAGTGAGGATTCTGATCTAGATTAGTCAATGTGAATGAGGAACTGAAAGAGGGGAATCACTCCCAATGAATGAACACAGCAGGCCATCTTTATACAGAATATTTAGTGATTATGATTATTCCCCTTGACTTTGCAGTAAATGAGATGCTTGCCATCACCTATTTGGCACTTTTTGGAATATTCTTCCACTCTTCTTGCCGTTTACCTTCCTCCCCAAAGGCCACTTCAGACCAGAGACTTTAGCTTTCACTAATGATAACGTTAGAACATTGATGGCTCAATTAACAATCAAGAGCTCAGCTCCCACGCAGCCCGCAATGCAATCAATAACGTACTTTCAGTGAAATTAAAGGTGCTAACGAAGCCAAGTGTTAAAACCATTGGGTACTTAATTTGGGAATATTAGTCCAAAATGAGTGTGTCAGTTTTCACTTCAGCATCTCAGTCAGTCCTCAACTGCCTTACACATGGATGAGCAATGAATGAAGCATAAATATTTGTACAAGAAATTCTTTTCTTGCATAGATTCTCCAACTTGCCCGTAAAAAAGCGGGGATGCTGAGCTGGCTTCATGTGGGCTCCTCTCTTTGGCAGGGTCAGCATGTCTTTTCAAAACAAGCCCTCAAATGCAAATTTATAAAAATCCAATCAAATTGGCAAAGCTGACTGGACAGTGTTAAGTGGCAGGCAAATGGTTTGTTGTCCGAAGAATCCATTGTCCAATAAATGTTGGCATTTGACAATATGGAGGAAGTGACAAAAAGCCGATGGCAATAACAGAACATTCCTTTGGGGCCTGGAGTTCACTGGTAGAGAATTTGCTTTGCATACAGAAGGTCCCAGGTTCAATCTATGGTGGGACCCTTGTCTGAAGCTATGGAGAGCTGCTGCCAGTAAGTGTACACCATTCCAGGCTAGATGGACTGTTGTTCTACCTCGAAATAACTTGGCCTCCAGTGTTTCTATGCTTCCCAGGGGCACAGGAGGCTGCCAACATGAGCCAAACTAGTGGTCCATCTAGCTCAGTATGGTCTACACAATGGGTCAGCAGCCTGGTACCCTCCAGATGTTCTGGTCTCCAAGTCCCATCAACCTCAGCCAGTATGGTCAGTGGTCAGGGATGATGGGACCTGTAGCTCTGTGAGGCGTCTCCCAACAACTCTCAGTACCTTTAAAAATTTACAGTTGTGCTTTTCTTCTAGAAAAAAATGTTGCTGGTACTGACACCCTTGAGTACCCCCAGAAAAAAGCACTGGTTGTCAGGATTCTTTGTGGGGAGAGTAATGACTGTTAAATGTACTGTTAACTATAAATGTACAGTACAGGTGTGATTTAAGAGAGGAATTCTTCACTGGTTCAGACAGGGGTGGATTTACTACAAACTAATTAAGTTTAAACTTCAGGGCCCCTAATCCTGGAGGGCCCCAGAAGTGAATTTAATCCACATTGCTTATTTTTGGGGGGTCTAGTAGACCTAATTTGAGTTGCATGACTCAAAACTAATTTTTTTTGGTATATAGTTCAACAACCCCAAAGTCAGTAGCACAGATGTTGCAAAGTGGAGTGTTATGGTACAGCAATTTAAAGCAAAATCTGAGATGTGGTAGTTCATTCTTTTTAAAAAGTGGTGATCTCTCATGGAAGAAGACAACAGTGGTTTCCCAGACCTCATTGCTGGTTATGAAGAGGCCCCCATAACAGTTCAAGCTTCATGGCCCCCAAAATGGAGGTCCGTCACTGGTTTCAGAACAAAATCAGAACCAGAGAAGAATTTAGGGGCTGTAATGCTCACCATGTTTTTGAAGTGAGCATTATAAGCCC